TTCGCTTATGTCGTTCAGCCTCAGCTCATCCGCCCTCATACAGTTCCAGTGAACAAACGTAAGCATCTGAACATGGAGCAGGAGAGTGGCGAGCTGGCCGTGGGGGGCCGCCCGTAGCGGAGTACGGTTGTCAGAGTGCGGGGGCCTCCTGCCCCAGGTGCGCAATCGCCTGGGCATGGTGGGCTAGGAGGAGGAGGAGGAGGAGGAGGAGGAGGAGGAGGAGGAGGAGGAGGAGGAGGGAGGAGGCGGAGGAGGAGGAGAGAGGAGGAGGGGAGGAGGGGAGGAGGAGGAGGAGGAAAGAGGAAGGAGGAGGAAGAGGGGGTAGGAGGTAGAACAGGCGGCAGATTGCCAAACTGGCGGAATATTCCATTCAGGCTGAGAGCGGGGTTCTCCGACTCCCCCCCCGCGGCGCGAAACCAATCTTGCGTGCGAAACTGGCATGCTGCACAGACGCGGCGCCAGGGGAGAGAGCTCCAAACGCCGAAACTGCTCCCCCCCCGGTGGCGGGGGCGACCCGGAAGGGGGGGAAGCGGAAGGGAAAGCGCAAGCAAGGGGCACGCGAGAGGCAAGAGAGGAGCCGGGAACGACGACGCCGGGGGGGCCCCGTGACGCGGCCGAGCCCGCGACCGCCGACGACGGCAACCGAGCGAACCCCGCGACCCGCGAGGAGGAGGGGGGACCGACGACCCGCCACGGGCGGGAGCGCCACCAGAGAGCGGCAGGATCGCCACGCCACCCCCGACGGCAAACAGAACGCCACGGGGCCCAAGGCCGGGAGTGGCGGAAGCAGGGGCACATGAATGAAGGGGCCCCAGGACACACAAATACATACACACAAATAAAAGGATTCCCCATATTTTCCAGTATTTCCTGGGTTTCTGTCTTCCCCCCCCACTTCCCATATTTTCCTACACTTTCTGGGGAATCGAGGACTCATTGTGTCTGTGTGCTTCTTTTCCTCCCGAATGAAGCACGGCAGGACCAAGGGGGACAGAGCGGCGCGCGCCCAGAGCGAGAAACGGTGAGCAACGGGGCACCGCGGCCGACGCATCGGTGCGTGACACGAGCGACTGATCGGTGTGTGACGGAACAAACAGCATCATACCAGCGCTTGTACAGTGCATGCTGGCCCGGATCAGGAAACTGCACGGCGGTGCCCTACACTCGGGGAGACGTAAGACCCGGGTACGGGGGACTCGGAAATCCCCGACGAGGTCGTCAAAAAAATGACGAGGCCGAGCCTGCATTTTGACGAGGCCTCCCGCTGCAGACATCCCACGAAACTCCTCCTCGTCAAAATCCGAGGCGCGGTCGTCAAAAAACGATGGCGAACCCGAGTCCCGGCAAACCCGGGTCTTACGCTCCCCCGATACACGAGCTGCGAGGCAATCGTGCAAGACCCACGTCGTGCAACCAAGGGTCCAGCGTGTGGTTAATGGGCGGGGCCCCCCGGGGGAGTAGTGTATCCGTCTGGGTCGGAGACCTGCGCGTTGAGTGTGGCGGCTGCCCCGCGCGCGCAGTAGGCTTCCCATAACTGCCGGGCGGCTTGCGGAGTGGATGGTCGCATTGTCCTCAGGGGGGAGCAGCGCGGCAGGCCATCGCACGAGGGGTGGGCTGGATCGGGATTCCCCTCGCGTCGTCAGGTCAGGCCGGGACTCAAGCGCGAATTGTCGCTGCGTTGCCGTCCGCACCCTGTAGGACTGCATTTGGCTTGGGCGCTTGTCGACCAGGTGCCACCTCTCGCCCGGCGCTGGGGCTGCATGCGGGGAGTCCTCGGGGTGCGGGGAACGCCTTTTTCGGGCATCGATGGCAACGATGATGCAGTTCGTGGGGCACCTGCTCGTTGGCGCGAAGTCGGAGAGCCCCCCCTGGGGAGGGCGGCCAGATGGGCCCAACCGAACTGAGGAGTCCAGTGATGGGGGAGTGCCGGGAGATCAAGAGCGAGAAGTCCCTAAGTCCCTCCTTGATCCATTTGATGCGCCTGTCGCCTTCCCAAGTCAGGATGCAATACGCCCTTCCCGGTGGTCACTGCGTCTGTTCTGGAGGCGCCGCTCCTTTGCGACGGGGCGCGAGGAGGGAGGAGGGAGGAGGGAGGAGGGAGGAGGGAGGAGGGAGGAGGAGGAGGGAGGAGGGAGGAGGGAGGAGGGAGGAGGAGGGAGGAGGGATGGATGGCGGCGTCCAGGGCGCGCGTGGCCTCCCCGCGCAGCGCGCCGCCCTCGTGTGCGGACCCGGCCATGAGCTCAACCTCGTGGATCCGGTATGGCTTCCATTCCTTGGCCTGGAGCTCCTACTGCCACCAGGGGGGCAGGGATAGCTGCACCTCCTCTCCATCCACGAGCCCATGGTGGGATGTCAACAATCCTGGGTGCTGCTTGGCTGCTCCGCCATGTTGGAGATGCTTCCATGGTTTGCCACGTCCGTCCCACTCCGTGGGGTCGGGGAGCCCTCCAGTCCAGTTGTGGATGGCCATTTTGTGCCTTGCATCTTCAAAATGCCCCTTGTGCTAAGCGGAGGTGTTGCCGAGCTCGCAGTGCCACAGCCACCATCCGTCTTTGATCCTGGCCCACCTCATGAAAGGGCACCGTCGGCATTGAACGCGCGGCCTCTTCCCTGTTCTCGCGCATGGGCCATGGGAGTCGGGGGCAAACGCTGCGGGCCACCGCTGAACTGGCAGGGCCATGGGGGGCAACGAGTAGTTGCACGATGGAAACGACACACGGCTAGCAGCTGGTCAGTGGGGGGTTCGTAGCGATCGTCCGATCCCGCCCCGCCGCGATCGCTCCTGGGTCCAGGCCAGCTCCAGATTATCGGCGGCAGCGGAGAGGGAATCGGGATCGAGTGGGGCACGATCGGGGAGGGGGAAAAGAGAAGGCACGGCCGCAGACTCTACGGCTCTGTGCCAGATGGTCCAAAGTTGGACTTGTTCGTGCCCAGTTGACCGGAGGGCCTCGGCCCATAACGCACCGATGGAGGCCAGTCTGTCGCTAGCGGTGTCCAAGCGACGTCGCACCGCCTGCCAGTCCAAGGACCATCCCCTTCGGATAAGGGGCTCTAGCCCCAGGTATTATATCCGCACAGCCAAGTGTAGGCTCCGATATCTGGCGGTTCCAGCTCCATGCATGGCAGCCGCCAGGTCGTCGCCCACGATTCTGGCTGACCGCGCCGCTGGGTCTGTCGTAGCTGAGGCACTGAATCCTGCCCTGCATCCAGCCGCTTCTGCCGATTGTGCGTTGTCAGTCCTTGGTAGGGCAACGATACATGACGCGAGGCGGACAGGCGGTCCTCCTTCAGTGGAGTGCTACCACAAGGCGGCTCCTGCGCCGGCAACTCTTTGCCAGCCTATCATCGGGAGCGGCCAAGAGGGGGGTGTCCAAGAAGGGTGGTGCAAATAATGACCGGCGGCATGTGCGCGGCCCAGCGAGGGGGCCAGGGACGTAATACAATAAGAAGAGGCGCCATGAAATCCGGGGAATATCATGGCCCCCGCCATGATATCCCCCCACCCTAGTCCTCATTGCCGCCCCCGATAGCAGCCTGGCGCCGCCACCGAAGGTGACCACCATGGGCGGTCGCCTCCGCCAATGCCCCGAGGGGGCAGCTGGGCCACGAGGTCTGCCGGTGCCGGCGGCAGGCGAGGCAGCCTAGGGCTCGGGATCCATCCCCGCCCTGCGAGCAGCCAGCCTCCCACCGGCGCCTCGCAGCTCATGTGGAGAACGGCTGTGTTGGCTGGGGCTCCCGGGGTGCAGACGGGGGGCCGCCCTATCTCTCCGCCAGCACGGGGCGCTCTGCGAGGAAGGCGCGGTCGGGCGGATCTGGCGAGCACGCGGGAGGGCTGGTGGGGGCAGCAGCCCGGGCAGGCTTCCTCACGCAGGATAGACACACACAGACACAGCCGCAGCCACAGACACAGACACAGACCCAGACTCAGACACAGACAACACACACATAATTAGACACACACACACACACACCACGCGACATCATAGCACATCAAACATGCCAGGGAGATCGCGTTCGTGCGGCTTGTCCTCATTGCATGAGAGGTTGAGCGAGCGTCCATTAGAAGGAGAGGTTGCGTGAGGCCGGGCAAGGGAAGCGGGCTGAGAGGATACGGGGGAGGAGTAGCGCTGGGATGCTGCGGATAGGGGGGGAGGCTGAGTCAGGGATGGAGGGAATGATCGCGGGCGGAAAGGGCGAGCAGGAAGGACAGGATGGGAAGGGCGCCCTCCCACTCTTACTCAGCGCCCCTCGTCTTCCACCTCCTCCTCCTCCTCCTCCTCCTCCTCCTCCTCCTCCTCATTCTCTTCCTTCTCGCCTACCCCGTGCTGCGGTTGCTCCTCCCTCTCGTCCTCATTCTCGTGTTCTCTTCCTCATTCTGCCCGATCTCGTTCTCTGGATCCTCCTCCTCCTCCTCCTCCTCCTCCTCCTCTACACCATCATCTTTCCTGACCTGTCCAACCTCATCCGCCTCGTCGTTCTTCAGCACCCTTATCCCTGATCCCGATTTGGTCACCTCCTCTTCCAACGCACTGCTTTCCCCTTTTCACATCACCCATTAACCTCTCTCCCCTCATCTTCTCCCCAATTACGTTCGCTTCATCATTCCTTCTCCCATTCCATTTCCCCCGCATCATCGTCCTCGCCCTCCTCCTCCCGGCCGCATTGCGTCCACATCCGTCATCAGTCCTAATTCCTCCTCGCCCTCTTCCTTCCACTCCTCCTCCCCCTCACCCCTCCACCCGGCCATCCCTCCCATCACACCATCATGTCGCTCTCCCTCCCTCTCCCCGTCCTCC